GCCCTGCCCACTGCGACTTGGGTTTTGAATGAGCGAGCGATGCTGCTGCTCAGAGAGACGGACGCATTCCTGCAGCTGTGCCCTGGGCGGGCCACCATCTCTAGACAACATACTTTGAGTCAAAGATACGAACTGTGCGTGAGAGCAGAGGAACGCGTGGGTGACTGGGGGGTAGGGGTGGTGGACGTGGCGAGGGTAGGACCCTGTTCACCCACCCCCCTACTCATCTTTACCTGCAGCCACCCCAAGGCGTCACCCGCGCCCATCTTGGCCAGGAATGAGATCGGACCGGCCCGGACCACGCTCCCCGCCCCACACCGCCCGGGCTGATTCCTATCAGAGAGCTCGGAGAGCTGCCGAAACACTCCCGGATTCCTTGCATTGCACGTGTAGATGCTTTTGTATCGCCACATCATCATCATCGTCGTCCATAATAATAATCACCATCCATTCACCATCGATCATCATCACAGTGATAATCGCCATTAACATCATTATTATAATAACCCTCCTCGGTCACCACAATCGATCGTCATCATTATAATCTATCATCACAATTCACCATCATCCTCCATCATCACCATAATCATCGATCAATCGCCTTCATAATTGTATTAATCTTCATCATCATTTCTAATTTTCACCACCGATCAAAATCATCATGATGGAAATAACCATCATCGATCATCAACATCTCCATCACACGTGGCGGTCGTGAGCGCCATGAATTCGTGGCGCGAGCGTTCACGGGCAGCCCAAGCGTTGCGCCACCGCTCGCGACCCAGCCTGGGCTCCTCGACTTGAACCCCAACAACAAACGCCACGCAGCGTCATGAGACGCACACACATGGCGGCGAGACCGCGTTCATGGCAGTGCTTGCGCGAAAGCACAAATCTACCCATCTCGATCGGCTCGAAATTATCGTAAATCACGTGCTTTTGTGCGTGTGTGTGTGTCCACCCCCGGGGAGCGGTGGTGTAGTGGTTAGCGCACTGCGCTATGAACCCAGCGACACGGGTTCGATTCCCGCTCACGGCCAACACCAGTGACGATTATCTGAACCGGTCCCGGGCCTCCCCTAGGTCGACTCAGCCTCAAATGAGTACCTGGTGCGGTGTGTAAACATTGCCACTTGGGAGACAAAGGCGGTCGGGCGTGGTGCTGGCCACCCACCCCCTCGTGTACCGTTCCACGGCCTTCATAGGTGCTTGCTAACAGCACTTGCCCCTACAGTCTGTTAAGGCTACAAGGGGGATCTTTGTCTTTGTCTAAATCCATTCCCTCGTATCTATACTGTGCCCTTTCTGGGGGTGCGAGACTTGGCCGAAAAAAATGTAGAAGGTAAAAGCATCGAAAAACAAATTAAGCACGGGCAGTAAGTGCAACGACTTTGTTGCATCAACCCCTAAGTATGTATTAACATTGTACTGTTTTTTTTTACAATTGAGAACCAAAGGAGTGCAAGGCTGCAGTAAAGGTTAAGAACCACTGCTCGATATAAACCAGCTCAAGCATAAATTTCTATTTAAAGCTTTCGTGACTGCAGGGATTCATCTTCTTGGTTCTTTGGGTAAAGTCACGTAAATTTGAAATAATAAAATAATAAAAATAAAACATAATAAAACGAAACGTCGTGAGAATTATTTATTATGTTTAATTTTTATTATTTTATTATTTACATTCTACGTGACTTTACCGAAAGAACCAAGAAGACAGCTCAAGCTTCTCGTAAACCACGTGGTTTCTATATAGACACTCCTACTCTGACTCCCCGCCCCCTGTGAAAACAGACGCCGCTCCGTGTAGCAGCCTCGATGCGCAAATGTCGCTGCTTGCTCCCTATCCTCATCTCTCCTGATCCGTTGCTCCCGCTTCTTCGTTCCTTCTCCATCCTCTGTCTTTATGTTGAACTTATTTGACACGTTACGTAGCCAACTATGATAATTATCGAAGGTGTGGGATATTAGAAACATTGACAACAGGCAACGTTTCGGGCAATAGCCCATAATCACAGCAGAGACGCAGTTGCATTGAGACAATGCTCACATTAACACGACCGTTGTGGGGCCTGGCTGTATTGGGGTTAGTGTGGGGGAGATATGTGGCTATACTTCCCCACGCCGGTCAATGCGGGTTGGCAAGGTGACAAGGAGGCGGGGGGGGGGGGGTCAACGCTCACACCCACGTGGCCTCGCCAACCTCTCGCGATCCCTCAGGGGCCCAGCCAAGCACACGTGGTGTGGGTTCTGGTTCGGCGTGTGGCCTATATGGGTATGGATAGGGTTGTGGTTCAGGATTGGGATTCAGGGATCGGTGTGGGGTGAGGGGTTGTCGTTTCGGACATTTCCCGGGAGCTCTTAATGGACATCAAAACTCAACACGCTGCTGAGCAATCTTCTTCCCGTTGCTATTCCTCCATACGGCGTCATGTGGGTCATTGTTTGGTCTCGGAACTGTTTCATCATCTCTCTACTTACGAAGAAGGACCATTGCCCGGAACGTCGCCGATTAAATACGTACGTTTTATGCTTCTTCTTTTTCTATTTCAGTTGCAGTGGTATTGAGGAATTTGCTGATTTTGTAATTTTATTTTATTTTCGGGAGCAGCAGAATTTCTCGATGTTCACGCCCCGCGCGCCTCGCCCCGCGACTCGGCATTTAAATCGAGTTCCGCGCGTCCTCGCGTCACCTGCCTTCTCATAACCCCCCTCCCCCCCCCCCCCCCATTGTTTGGTGTCAGACACAGCCCCCCCCCACCCCACTCCCTCCTCCACGTGTGAGCAAGTATCGGCACGCCATGGCCCCGGCATAAGAATGTGCAGCGCCGAACCCACAGCCCCGTATTTCCCTCTGCTGTACGACCAGATTTACCCTGAACGCATCGCCAGCGAAGCGGGTTTGAACCTGGTTGATGAGCACTTTGCCTGGGAATGCCACGTGGTGTTGTTAGGCGGTGGGCTGCCAGTTGGACGAGAGGAGGCGGTACACCAATGCATTGTTTAATTCATCTGTGCGGAGTTTGGGACGTGTTCTCCCCTCGTGTGATGGCGCACGTGGTGGATGGTTTTTATTCCGGTTTCGCAGATCGACATCCAAAGCTCGCAGCAACCTCCTGAAAGCGATACTCAGCGAAGCTTTCCTGGCTAAATAGGGGACATCGATTCATCGGTTAGGATTAATTGACCTCCACTTTGAGAAACAATGCCCAATTGCCCGATTGCGACTCCGCATAATCATCATCAGCCATGGTCAATCCACTGCTGGATGAAAGCCTCCCCAAGCCGCCGCCACCACCCTCTCAAGATCCTGCGACATAATAACCCACCTGCACGGGAACCAACTTCATCGCTCCATCTCCTCGATTGACGTCCTCTCGGATGAGCTCATTCCTTGGCTGCTGCGGCGGCTTCGCTACGACTCGCAATTTATTGCCACACTTGGTGATTCGCGAGGCTCAATCGCTCCGGGTTGTGGGCAGCTGGGGCTGTGGGCAGCCTGGGGTTGTGGGTAGCTGGGGCTGTGGGTAGCCTGGGGATTGTGGGCAGCTGGGGCTGTGGGTAGCCTGGGGATTGTGGGCAGCTAGTGTGGTGGGCAGCCCGCGGCTGCTGTTGGCAGCTGAGGCTGTGGGCAGCGGTGGGCAGCTGGGGCTGTGAGCAGCCTGGAGTTGTGGGCAGCTAGTGTGGTGGGCAGCCCGCGGCTGTGGGCAGCTGAGGCTGTGGGCAGCTGGGGGATTGTGAATAGCCCGCGGCTGTGGGCAGCTGAGGCTGTGGGCAGCTGGGGGATTGTGAATATCCCGCGGCTGTGGGCAGTTGGGGCGAAGTGCGCCTCGGGGGTAGACGGAAGCCCGGGAGGGCAGCTCGGGGTGGGGAGTGACGTGGCACGTGGATCGAGTGTCACGCACAGCGAAGTGTCACAAGTTCGTGTCACACAAAGCGCAGTGTCACACACACACACACTCACCTAAGTGGCACATGCAAGTGTCACTCAACGTGTCACAACGTGCCAAAAACAGCGAAGTCTCACAGTATGCGACACTTTACTACGCAACCGTGCCACAGGGCAGGGTCACAAAACGCGTTACACAGTATTGTCACAAAGCAGTCGCACAGTGAGTGCAGTGTCACACACACCAGTCACACAAAACAAAGACAAAGATCCCCCGTATAGCCTGAGCAGACTGTTGGGGCAAGTGCTGTTAGCGAGCAGCTATGAAGGCCGGTACGGCACACGAGGGGGTGGGTGGCCAACACCACGCCCGACCCCCCTTGTCTCCCCAGTGGCGATGTTTACACACCGCACCAGGTACTCATTTGAGGCTGAGTCGACCTAGGGGAAGCCCAGAACCGGTTCAGATAATCGTCACTGGTGTTGGTTCGTAGCGCAGCGCGCTAATCGCGACACACACACTCCAAGTCACACACACCAATCAGATACACACCAATCAGACACACACGCACCTGTAACATAAACAACCCAGCCACACATACCCCGAGTCCCACCCCAGTCACACACACACCCCAATCACACCCCAGTCACACACACCACAGTCACACACCTACAGCCCAAGCAGCCACCGCTGTCACCGTGAATACCTCTCATAACTCCCTCCCACGTGAGTCACGCATGCTTGCAGTGAGGAACCCTTACAACACGGGGGGTGGTGGTGGTGTGTGTCGCGCAGCCCGTTCCTCCAGTCGGTGTCATCATTAAAGGGCCACGGAGTCACGAGGTGTGGCCGCGATTACGACCAGAAAAACCAGCCCCATCACTCACCCGCCCATCCACTCACTCACCTCATCCACACATCTACTCACCCACTTACTCACCCACCCACACATCAATCCCATCCACTCATCCACCCACCCACCCAACCGCCCCCACCCAGGCCTTCGACGTCCACGTTTCAATCGAGGAGACGCAACGAGACGCGTGCGTGGTGACGTGGGGGCATTCCTGCGTCGGGTATAAAGCAGCCCGCGTCCTGACAGCACCAGCCGCGTCTCATCCATCTCTCTCGGCCACGCGCGGCCTTCCCTGCCACTCCAGGTGAGCTTAGACCAGCGGGGTCGGAGCTGCGTGCGGCTATTTAAGGGCCTCCTGCGTGATGTTATTCAAAAGCAAGGCGGCTCTTTAAATATTGCGGGGTTTTTTTTTTACTACCAAATTCTAAAGAAATGGCTCCTTGTTATTTCTGTTGCCGACCACTGGGTTATACCATCGACAGGCGCCGAGACTTTCTGCAATAATTCTAATAATCGTAATTTTGAAATATGTAAATATAAATTTTTGTAAACATTTTATAGACCTTGGTCTATGTATGAAGCCCTCGGCATCCGTCATCAGGGGGGGGGAAGGGGGCGTTTGACCATTCTTCACCGGCGCTGATCGACTCGTGTTGGTGACGAGATTGCGGTAGATACCAAGAGCGGTTGAGATATCACTTGCCACTGATGTTATCCGTCGTCGAGAACCGACCTCGGGTCACGAGAGGTTCATAGTGTGTAGCGCGCTAACCTCTACGCCGTAGCCCACGCACATGTATAACTGTAGGTTTCCAGTGTATTGTATGCAGACTGATAATGGCACGATATATGTGCCTACGTGTAGCTCGATCGGACTCCATGTGGCGTGCCTTCAACTCAAACGCAAGGGAAAATTGTTACATTTAAGTGGCTGTGACTGTCGGCGATTATTCGTGATTTTTGCAAGACTCAAGCCAAAGTAACCCACCTGAGAGGCAAGGTGTTTTGCCCTCGACGTCAGTCGGGTATGTACCTACCCGTCTGGTATAAAGCCGGTTACTGGCGAAGTTTGCGAGCGCTGTGAACCCGGCCAGCAGAGTTAAATTCCCGGCCACGGATAACGACATCGGTGGCAAGTGATATCCGAACCGGTTTTCGGGCCTGCCGCCTCCACAAACCCGTGGTGAAGCATGGCCAATCAACTTCGCCTCCCTCCCATTACCGACATGGCGCGGAGAAGTATTAACCCAGCAGTGGAATGGAAAGAGCAAAAACGATCAAATTAATTCGTTGATTGTACGCCGTGTAATTGTATGCGTGAGAACAAATTGAAAGGTGATCATTTTCGTGATGGGTTTAACTCTCTCGCTCTGTCTTTGACCTCCAGAGGGCTATCTGGCAGCTCGCCGTGACCTTCACCTGGACGCCGGACCGGTTGAACCTCGGGCCCTGCTCATCGCAGATTCGACAGCGACCGCGCGGGTTCCTCCGCGGTGTCCCTCGCGACGAAAATCGATGCCACGTGGCGGCGTCGTGACGTCACACGACAGCCGATATGAGCACTGCGTTGTGATCACAACTCAACACATTTGTCAATAGCACTGTGGCCTTCAAAGGAAACAAATATTCGTTTCGGTTGATGACCCATCCAATGATATGCTATGAAGAAGGGCCATTGTCTGAAACGTCGTCATATATTTTTCCCTTTTTAAGGCCACAGTGTAATTTACCAATGTGTTGATTTTTGTTTGTATTGTTAATTAGGCTTGTGCACCACTTGTTTACTATTGCCAAGACGCAGCAGAACTAGACTCAAGCCCCGTTCGAGCTCTCGGGTTTGTGTGAATGCCAGAGGCTCACGGCGTCAAACCAAGGTCCCTTTTAGGACTCCAATGGTTGCGTGTCAATGTCTGAGGCTCACGGCAAAAAGAGGGAGGGAGGGAGAGTTTAAAGAGCGACACAGCCGCAGTCAATCGCTTTATTCGTCACCACGCGACCTTAAACGCTGCCCAGGAACACGAGGACCAAGTCTCTGCTTCCCGGGTCCAGTGGTTCTCATCAGTTCAACAGTTCTTTGGAGAAATTGTGAAATGTTTAGGACCACTGGAGCCGGAGGGGCATCTCCGTCAAAGCCGAGTTCGACGTGGTGCCGCACTCAAAGCGGTGGAAATTCCACATTCTCACGACGGGGGCGAGTCAACCCACGAGACAATCGGTGTTATATTTGCTGTGTGCCTATACAAGCATGCACATCAAATGTAAATTGAATGTAATAAAAATTGTTATAATAAGTTATTAAACAATACCTTAGTTAACTATAGTTACTATACATCGAATTGTATGTTAATATATTAATATAGTTAATTGTATGTTAATATATACATTACATTGTTCTTGAATTATATTGTGTTTGGCCTCATATTTTGACTCTACGCTACTGCTGCGTTATATAAAAAAAAAGTCTTTCTCCCTGCTATCCAGCATTCACCGTTGCGCGGAGCTAGTATCCAAACAAGCACACGAGGCGCGCGTGTGCGGGCAGTTCAGGCAAGAGGCAACACGTGGGCAGCACGAGACACCCACGCCACAGAGCCGCTTGGTTTTCCGTGTCTCTATTTGAGCAGCGTAAGCAGTGAGACTCGCTGGGGTTTCTTGTTGAATCTTGTCTTCATCGAGCATTCTTCATCTCGCGCGCGCACACACACACACCGCGCACTCTCTCTCTCTCTTTCCGGGCCATTGTGTGGCCAGCTATGGCTTACTGATGAGCGCTATGAGCGCGAAGCCGGTGGCCCATGTTTTGTGTCCGAGGCGCAGCATGAAACCAAATAGGCATTCGTTTATCCGGGAAATCCGCGTAACACCGCGAGCGCGGGTGTTTTCCATACGGTGATATCACCCTGGTCTCGTCGGATCTCGAAAGCTAACCGGGTTTTAGCCGGGTTGTGAATTGATTCTGTGCAGAGATGTGAGCATTGCCCCCCTCGAATCCGTGGATATTCTCCGGTTCCTCTGGCTTCCTCCGACACGCCAAGGGCTCATACGTGGAACGAATAAAAACATTCTAGATTTGAAGCTTTCGTGACTGCAAGGATTCATATTCTTAGGTTTTTTCGGTAAAGTCACGTAGGTAAAAAATTAAAACGAATAAAAGTAAAATAAAAAATAAAATAAAAATCACGACGTTTCGGAGGCAACACAAGCTTCCGTCTTCAGGTGGACCCGTCACAGCACGATAGCTGTAAAAAATAAAATAAAAATCACGACGTTTCGGAGGCAACACAAGCTTCCGTCTTCAGGTGGAACCGTCACAGCACGATAGCTATCGTCGTGATTTTTATTTTATTTCTATTTTACTTTTATTAATTTAAAATTTTCACCTACGTGACTTTACCGAAAAAACATAAGAATATGAATAAAAACATCCCAATGACAATGCGTCTCGAGAGCCAGTGCAGCTTTCCAGGGGTAAATAATTAACATTGTCACTATTACTATCGCTATTCAGTTCACATCAGCCACCGTGATAGAGAAAATCAACACTGCCTAGACCAGTGGGAGCAGCTTACTGGGTGCCTGCACCACCACAACTCGGACGTCGGACCGCGTGAGTCTGTGGCTGCATCGCGACCACTCACTCGGTCTGGATTTTCAGGTTCCCCGGCCGCCCTATTCGAATTGTTGTGGAGCAGGAATGGCTCATTGAAATCTCACCGTCACTATACAGAACAACTCGTCTATAGATACAATCTTAATTTGAGGCTTTCGTGACTGCAGGAATCCATACTCTTTGGTTCTTTCGGTAAAGTCGCGTAGGTATAAAATAAAATAAGTAATTTCTGACGTTAACATCATGCTAATCTCTCACATTAACATAGCCACTTCCGTGCCCTCTAATTTCTCACATTAACATCATGCTAATCTCTCACATTAACATAGCCACTTCCGTGCCCTCGTCGAGGAGGCCGCTCTCCTTCTATCTTACAGCTACATGCTAATTTCTCACGTTAACATCACTAACCCCGGCCACTTCTTTATGACCCTTGGGCTACACCCATTTCAAACCTTTTAAAACAGTCTGCCTCAGCAGCAGACCACGCTTTCCCACCTGATGACGGACGTCGTGATTTATTTTATTTTATACCTCCGTGACTTTACCGAAAGAACCAAAGAGTATGGATACAATATACATCACGTGACTTGTGTGCCCCCCCCCCCCCCACTCTGAATCCCTCCCCTCTCCCCGCCGCCCACTGTGGAAACAGACGCCGCTCCCGTCGTGTAGCAGTTTCAAGGCCCTGATGCAGCCTCTTCCTCCCAAGCCTCATCAATCTTACCCCTTGCATCCCGTTCCTCCGTTCCATCTCCATCCTTCCCCCCCCCCCCTCATTTCAAATTACTTTGTTCTCTCTTCCCTTTACCGTTCCTATATCTTGTTCTACGCATTACATCCTTGACTCTCCTTCCCTTCCCATGGCGTGGAGCCACGGGTACAACGTTGATAGTTGAGTTCCATTTATTGCTGGTGACCGAAAACAAGATGAGCAGTTCTGCAGGAACTGGTGGTTTGTCTAATGTTCAAGACTAAGAGCTTTTCGTGCACTCGGTGCACGAGTTTGTGTGATGCTGACTGCGGGAACAACTCTGCCCCAGCCGATAGAAATTCCACATTCATATGATGGAGTCCAGTCCACCCATATATATATAATCTACCCATCAGAATGATCGAATTGTGTTAATACCATATTCTCCAGATTATAAGACGCACGGATGTCATACATGTGGAGCGTCAACGATTCAGAGACAGAGTTTCTAGGAGGCACCTTCTTTATTAAACAACGTCTCGTCCGCACACTCTCCACAGTTACTTAGCCTAGCCTGTACACAGCCCTCACCGTCTAACACTGACGGCGCTGACTTGAGATAGCCAACAACTTCCAGCAGCGCAGCATCTTGCGAAGACGACAACGACGACGAGACGAGTCCACTCCCAGAACCGGCAGCCCCGAGCACCCCGCTCTCGGTTCCTGTTATGCTGCCAGCGCGGCCTGGCTCCGCCCTGACCGCGCCTCCCTTCTCGAACCCGCTAGCAGGTTCCAGGGGCCTCCAGAATGGGTCCTCACCGGCGTGTGCGCCGTCTGTCCACCACAGTTGCCGCTTCTGTCCACCAGCCGGCGCTATGCAACTACACTTGTTAAAGTAACAGTTAGGGGTGCGTCTTATTATGATTATCGGGAGAATGCGGTATTCTCTTCGGTATGAGATGAAATCACAAACATTGTTTGCCTTTCGCAGGATAGCGCCTGGGCGGTGGATAGATGACCGACCACGGCGCAAACAAAAAAAAGCCACGTTGTAGGTAAACCCTGATTACCCAGTAAACGTGGAGCGGTGGGCCAACGTTGGGTCAACGGTTCCAACCGCTGACCGGGAATAGACCTCGTGCAGATGCCGTGGTGCAATCGCACACTCAAGTCCCGGAGGTCGCCGATTCGTTTCCATCAGGCGCGCGCGCTGCAGTTGTAAACAACGCCGTGAGTCTCCCAACCTCTCCGCCTCTGTCCACACCAGCGGTCGCAATGGGTGCGGTAAAGTGTGGGTGCGCCCATCGCTTCCGATACGCTTGATCAGCGCGGAAGAGTAGGCCGAAGATCACTCTAGCGCCTCCCTCTATAGCGGAGGCTCTTGTGCCAGCAGGGGCACGAGCGAGACATTGCATGGCTGCGCCTTCACCTCGAGGTCTCGAAAAGAACACACACGGCTGCCTTCTGCCACCTCAGGTGAGAGCGTGGGGCGGTGACGTCGCCTAATTAAATCAAACTATCGCGTGGGACCCGGCGGAGCGGTCATTACTGACAGTTAGAATTTACAAGTGGAACACGCGCACACGCAAGGGGGAGACAACATGAACCCCCTTGTGGACATTAGCAGACTCTTGGGGGCAAGGCGCTGGTGTTACCGTGCACCTATGAACGCCCCGGACGGCACACGTGGTTGCAAGCACCACGCGCCGGCCTCCTTTGTCTCCCCAGCCGCCGGCCGCTACGGGAGGCCCTCTGCTGCGGAGCAAGGTGGCCCCCACAGCCTAGAACACCTGTGACGCAGGGTGATTACCAATCCGCGAACTGTCGTGCAGGCTCAGAGCTTCCGAGGTCTGACGAGATGGGGCGCATTCCGCGTGATTTGTCACAAGATAACACTGCCTGCATCAGATCCGCAGTGTGTGTGACGGCACGTTTATAAACACGCGTGTCAGTCCGCATGCATAGGCCAAGCACCAAAACGAGTGGAGGGATGCACAAGGTGGTCCAGATGTCTTGTGACCCCCCCCCATCCCATTTAATTATATTATCTATACTTAATATGTTTGTATACCAGTGGGTAGTGAAAATATTAATTAATGGGCAAAGGGAGAGAACAAAAATTGTTCGGGGTCAATTAATTAGCGGCCACAAGACATCTGGGCCCACCCTGTACAACACTATGGAGGATAGAGGCGCAGCCCTGCAACTGCCTGCTCGTGCCACTGCCGTGCCACTGCCGTGCCGCGGGGCCTGGGCGCGCGTGGATGCCGCCACTGCCCTCGCGGCTCCCGCGCGCCGGACCCAGCGCTCCCTCTGCTGTGCGAACTCATCACGCCTCCGTTGAGCTTCATTGGCCGTAACTTTTTAAAATTATTATTACACGCTTTTATTTAACTCACTCTGTCTGTTGTTGTTGTTGTTGTCGTATCCTCAAATCTTGTAACTCAATTTTAACCCACTTCCCAATGTGGTATCGACTGCAAACTTGGTATACTTATGTCATACTGATGACAATACTATATTCTATCATAAAAATATAAAAATATATAAAAATTAAACACTCATTTTTATATGTTATGTTTCGGCTTGGGTCGAATTGTTCACGGTCAACTCACGTTGGCTGTAAATCACCACGGGCCCTTACGTATGGCAAGCCTCGGGGACACTTCCTGGAGTCGTGGAGTTCTGCCATTACTCGTACGGTACATTTTATTAAAGCGTGTTTTTAAAAAAGTATTTTTAAATATTACCTTTTTTTGCTGTTGTTGCATTTTGTCATTTTGGGGAAACCAGGTTCACTCTTGCAAGCGAGACTCTATCCTGGTCTCTTGGAGTCTCGTCACATGGTTACCCAAACGTCTACTTGAAACTTGAATTTCTGGTTCTTGGTTCTTTCGGTAAAGTCACGTAGAATGGAAATAATAAAATAATAAAAATAAAACATAATAAAATAATTCTCACGACGTTTCGGCCACAACGCAAGCAGCCGTCCTCAGGTGAAGAACAGGTCTGTCAGAAAGACAGCTGAGGACGGTTGCTTGCGTTGTGGCCGAAACGTCGTGATAATTATTTTATTATGTTTTATTTTTTTATTTTATTATTTCCATTCTACGTGAC